CCCCCCCCCCTTAAAAGAAATAAAAATTAATGGGGGTCTTGACACACAATAATTTGCTTTCCAATCCTTCGTGTAAGTGTAGGTAACATAGCGCAAACGTCATGGAAACTGAATTTTTTTTCTCCAAAAGAAAAAACATTGTTTCTTGCAATGGGGGCCTTAAATCTATGAAATAAATAAAACCTTAATTAAATGACACTACATTATGAACAAGAGGGGAGGTAACGACTAAATCGAAGAAAACAAAGAGGAAAAAAATCTTTTTCTGTTTACCTTGAAAGGGGTACAGACACCCTCTGTGATGTTTCCCAAAACCTCATCCATTTGAATGTTAGAAGCTGAAAATGATTTTAAAAAATCAGTTAAAATAATAATAATAGATAGCATTTGAAAACGCAAATCCCTGCTCAACAGCAAGCTCTATACGCTACACAATCTTTACTATTACCCCAGCAGACCTGAGAGCATTCTGAAACAACCTCAACTTCATGGGAAGCATATAGTGCAAGCAGCCATTTATAGGCGCGAAAACACTAACATACTGACAAGATCTTCCTCTCTCTATGGCTGGGTATCCATTCTCACTTGGGTGAAGTGAGGAAAATTCGTGTAAAGTGCCTTTCCCAAGGACATGTCGGGCTCACGGTTTGAACCCCCGAACTCGCAGTTCAGAGAAATGCAACACCAGAGTATGATAGAACTACTACAAAATAAATATAATGCTACATAAATACATCCATAATGAATGTATTGAAAAGAATGCAGATGCTGTACACTCGACACTTTGAAAAAGATAACGTTTTACTTCATCAGCACATTATCACAACCTTACTGGTTCTAACAGAGCTCGTAAATTCTGCTTCCATACTCGAGCACAAACTAAAGCTGGAGTCTGAGGCATTAATTTAATAAAACAAAAATCTTATCTCTTCATTTGTAAATGTCCCATTGTTCTTCATGATTCAGGAAAATCACCTATTTTCCCAGCCTGTTGATATTTTAAAAAACATTTCAAAGTCAGATTAATATAGACAAAAACCACATCTTTCAAAAGATCTGCTTAGCTACAACCCGAAAGCTTTTACAACTATTGTGTAAGACGTGCACACAGGGTAAAAAGAGAATATTCCTCTTCTCGTAAAAAAAAATAAATCCAAATTCGATAAGACATCTGAAACGCTAAATGGACAATATGTGAGAATAAAAAGAAACATCAGTTTGTTGAAGGTATGTAACAGGAGAGATGAACGGAAGAATTTGTCACGTATATAAATTTTTATTTCACTCATGTACAGACATTTTTCTCGGTTTTTTACAAAGGCAGTGGTATCACAAAGTTAATACGTACTCATGCATACATGCAAGAAAGGATACAAATAGTATATATGCTGAAACACTACTGCTCCATAAACATTCCCCCCCCCCCCCTCTCTCCCACTCTCTGTGTGTTTCATTTGTAGAGTCATGTGTAACCTCACTGCATTTCATGTGTACAATGAATGTAATACCTGTGCAGCCTTTGAGAAGCGACTGCAAATATTCCTTCTCTGAGGCTGATGCCTGGTGCAACCAGGCCAACATGTCGCCCACATATCGCAGAGGGTCATGGGAATGAAGCTCGATGGGTCTGGGAGTTCCACCTGGCCCTGGTACAAAATAATAATAATAATAACAATTATAATAATAATAATAATAGGCTAATAAAAATTACTATAATAACAATAGCATTCGTATGGTGCAAATTCCTGTTCAACAGCAAGCTGTATGTGTATTTACAATCTATATTATTACCCCAGCAGATCTGATAGCATTCTGAAACAACCTCAGCTTCGCAGGTAGCCTACATTAGTGGTTTTAGACAAAAGGCCTATTTGCGATATTTAATATCCTGCACAAAATAATCTTACACCTGCTAAAAGTTAGGTTTAATCCTTCTGGAGAAAGGAGCTGAAAAAATTAAATGAAAAAAACTTTTAGGGAAGGCGATTTATAGCAACAACAAGAATAACAAGAATTCGAGGTTAATGAAACAATGTCCTATTCTTTTTCTCTCTCAGTTCACGTTTATGTATAACATACTTGAGTAACGAGACTTGCAGTTAAACAGATTTGTTTTAGAGCGAACGATTCGTAACTCTGTGGCGTCTGAAGGATCGATAACCCTTTTTTCCCAGGCATATAAAACCTACAAATAAGTACTCACCCCCACGAGTCAGAGCATCAATAAAGCCTCTGACAACTGAACTCCTTCTTGCCTTGCCAAACTCATCTAGAGAGTATCTGAAAAAATGCAAAAGGTTCTAAACTTTCTTTGAAAAATATGACCTTACAGAAGATTATTATAAATTACAGCCTTCACTTTTCGTTACAGTCGAACTCGGACAAAATTAATCAGGGCGGGCTACATGTAAGTTACTTGTGCATCCAAATCAAATTGCTTGCAAAGTGTTAAACAAAAAGAGTACCCAACCCAACTTTGTCTTAGACTTTACATGATTAAAACAGGTTTCAAACCAAAATCTTTTTTTCAAGTGACAAAACAGAAAAAATTCAAAACCAATTCAATTATCAGGAATATAAATACAGTCGAACCTGCTCTAACGACCACCTGCTCAAGACAATCACTTGTACAAATGGCCACTTCTCACTCCCCCAACCTCCCTTGCGGATATCTGTATTTTAATGACACTGTCCAAGATATCCACTTGTCTAAGACACCCAATTTTCTCCTTGGCAAAGGTCGTTTTGGGCAATTTCGACAGCATGTATACGTACTTGAGCAAAACTGGTCTGTCTTGAAGAGCTTCCACAGCCTGACACAGCATGGGGCTTACGTCGGGTGTATCTTGAGTCACCAGGCGGCATTGATCTACAAAGGAAGGAAAGACACAACAAATGGAAACTTTGCTAGTGACTACAAATCTGCCATATATCTTCTTAACCCTATTTCTACAACAAAATTCCCCAAATATCAGATCATGTAAAAGAAAAAAAACCTCCTAGAAATACAGTGGAACCTACACAATAAATACAAAATGAATGTATTTCCTTCCTTACTAACACTCTAGAATAAGAATACTCTTAATACAAGCATAAGTTTGTTTTTAAAGATTTCCCTCTTTACTAATATTCTTGCATAAGTTACTCTTATAAATAATTATAGGATTTTTTTCGTTCTTACGAAAACATCTCAAGAGTAATAAAGCAGGTTCATCTCAGGCACAAAACTTTCTTTTAATGAGCTACAAGGTGTGCAGCATAATACACAACTTAAAAGTTTTGGTTGCTGTACTCTTTTCCCCTCCTCAAAAGTTTGTCAACAGATCTAACCACACAAAGAAACATTGCACCCACTTTGAGTCCATCTGTACAAGCGTTCGTAGGCAGATTCTTGATGTAGGGCCATCGACTCCATGATTTCAAGTCTGAGAACGGAGCAAAGTCATGTGATATTATCTTGGGACCTGATCATATTCCACAGGTAGAGCAAACAATTTTCAAAAAATGGGATATAGACTTTTCTTTTCGAAAAAAAAAAAAGACTTTCCATCAAGTATGGGTCACAAGGATTTTATTTAAACCAAAAATGAGAATCAAAATGTTTCTTCAATTTTTGTTGTTGAGTACATAACATAGACGAGAATGGAACAATTGAATATATCATGAATATCTTGTTACCCCCATTTGCTCGGAAACTTTTGGTCTACCACAAACTGACACCAGAAATGAATTTCCACTTGGCAAATCCTATTGGGTTTAAGAAATAAGTCTTTCCTGGAGGTCACTTTCAATTTTTTAAAAGTTTCCTGTTTCAAAGTGAAAAAAAAAAGGTAAAATGGTATAGGTTATTTAAGAGGTGGGACCTCTGACTTAAACGTCCATCTCCCTACTGAGCATCTTCTGAATGCACACAAAGAAAATCAAGAGATAGATTTTGTACCCAGCTGTTTGATGATTTGTACGCAACAGAAACTTGCAGTCACTGTGGATCTGTTTGACTCTGGCCAAGGCTTTGAAAAAATCCTGCAAAGAACACATCAATACAAATGCTAATTTTATGAAAAACAGTCACAATGTGTGTGTGTGTGTGTGCGTGTGTGCATGTGCATGATTGAGTGTTTGTGCATGTGTGTCATTTCTTCTGTAAGCATATGTGCAAAGATTAATTTGTCAATTTGTCACTTTATGTATGAATTTCTATTTGCATTTTTATGTAAAGCACATAGTGTGGTGTGCATATAGGAAAAGCTGCTATAAAAAATTATCTACACTTGCATTTTTATATAAAGCACAATAGTAAATATACATTGGGATAGCAGTTATAACAAAATTATCTTCACTATTATTACCATTGTCCATAAACTTCGTTTAAGAGCAAAATAATTGGAACTCGAGCGTTCATCCTAGGCTAAATTATGCCCCTACCACGTGTAGAGTTCCATCCTTGCTGCCACGGAGAGATTTCATTTCATCCTGTTTTAGCTGAAACTTGTCAAGGAACGCATTGGCTACTTGCTCCTTGACTTGAAGCCGTTGACTGAAAAGACCAATACATATATGAGAGTCAAGTGTATATATTTGAGAGTTGGAAAGAGAAAAACGAGAGAGAGAGAGAGAGAGAGAGAGAGAGAGAGAGAGAGAGAGAGAGAGAGACAGACAGACAGACAGACAGACAGACAGACAGACTGAGAGAATTTACTGACGAAGAAGGAAAGGGAGAGATAGAAAGAATAAAGAACACCCTGAGGCAGAACTAGAGACAGAGAACTAAAAACAAAAAATAATCGAGAAAGATAACATAACTAATTAAAACACACAGCTAAAAAAAAGGGACGCTCCCCCCCAAAAAAGAAAAGAAAACAACACCAAAAAACCCCCAAAGAAAACCCCCCCCCAACAACCATAACAAAAAACTGCCTCTTGCAAGATTACGAGTCGGGGAGCTTGACTACTAGACTAGTCACACCATAAGCATCCATCTCTGTTTGAGCATATAAACAAATTATGTGTAGATGCTCTCACCTTTCATGATGCAAAGACGTGGTCTGGCTAATCAGATGGTGTGTCTTAGCTTTAGCTGCCTGAAATAAAATCATTCACTGTCAAGAAAAAACCAGTGGCAGGCAGGCAGGCAGGCAGGCAAAGAATGACTTTTTAACTTGGTAAGTGATCTCTAAGACAACTATTAAGCTCAAAGGCATGACTTGTCAACCAAACGTCCATCCAGGGAGGAGTATCTCTAATTCTGGCACCTAGCACTTTTTGGGCTAATTAGCAAAGTCTAAAAAATACAGCAGTCTGTCAGAAATACGATATCAATCATGCCAAAGTTATAAAATCACTCAGAAATACGATATCAATCATGCCAAAGTTATAAAATCACCAAAACTATCATGAAAAAGGCAAACTAGGCTTCGCCACTGACAACAATTTGCAATTTTGTTCTTAAAAGGTTTGAGGTACTGAAACATGCTATTGCAATTTTACATTAAAAATTTTATATTTAATATCTCATGTTTTTTTCTTGACATACAATAAGTGTCATATCTGATGAACGTGTCTTATCCATGACCAGTTTATGAGTTTCTAAGAAAATTATTAGCTTGTGCCTTATAGCTCGAGAATAAGACAGAATTGCAATGAAAGAGGGGTCAGTGTGAATGCAATCTATAATAATAATAATTCAATCTATTTCATTGCTTTGCACGTAACACAGGCAATTACTTGAAAATTCTTGTCATCAGCACATTCTTGCAACCTTGGTGAACTGACATTAACTCATTAACTCTAAAAGTCAATAAATTTGAAAAGTTCATGAATATGAGCTAAAAAAAAAGCCAATCCAATTTTGGCAAGGGAAGAAAATTAGATCGAGATTATCAGAAGCTCAAAAGCTCAAGAGAGAAGGCTATGGTATTATGTAAACAGAAAACAAATTTTAAACAAGTTTGATTAACTCTCCTTTTACCTTCTTTTTTCCCCCCTCAAAGACAGTGAACTTACAAATATTTCACAATTTTCTGAAGCAATACTTTTCATACCTTAAGACGACTTGTCATATCCAGACAACATTCATTCATTGCTTGAACATCAGAGTAAACACTGTCCAGTTGCTGAAGGAAAAAAGACACAGGCTCACTGCATTGAAAACAATATCCCTACTTTATTTCAGTGCACATTAACACATAAAATAAATATCATGCAAGTCATGGAAAACATATCACTCCACTCACCATACTTTATATATATCATTATCATTGAAAACAATTCAAAAGAAACCACAACTGAGTGAATAATGAAGTAGGATGAGGAACTTTAGGCACCCCAATATTTTTTTAATTCACTTATTCTGGATCAAGCACATATTGGGGGGATGGCCTGATTTTAGATGTGGATCATGCAGCCATTACTAGATTGAGATTAGATTTTTATGAACCTATCTTTTTCATGTTGAAAGGACCCACATATTTTAAACTCAACTTGTTGTAACACAGTACAGAATAGACTTATATAACCTGTAAGAGTTCAAAGTGAATGGCAAGAGTATCTTACACCGACTAATCCAGTATTATAGAACATTAACCTGTTTAATAGAATTGGAGAAAAGGAAACACACCTCTTTCACAGCCTGGAAAGCAGTAAGGAATTCTTCATTGATAGCAAGACTTCTTTTCTCAATATCACTCCGAAGATTTCGACGGCTGCGCAAACTGTTTTCAGTGAAAAACGTTGATAAAGCTTTCAAGGCTTCCAGCATGTCCTGTTATAACCAAGAAAAACAAAAGCATCATAATTTTGGTAAATGATGGATCTTTATTTTAACCAACATTGTATTATTAACTGACTATACATCTGGTTGTTAAATTACATGCAGATTTTTTAATCATAAATTTTCTATGGACAGAGCATTTTGTGTTTGCACTTACCATCAACAAAATCAAATATATATATAATATGTTAAGTTTAAACTCCCCAGCATAATGAAAGTTTTGTGAATGACCATTGCACACGAAGAAGGTATGGGCAAGCATGTCCAAGTCATGGGCTGGATTTTATTAACGATTTTGAATGTCTTGTGGTCAACGCAGGAGAAAATTAGGTTTAGCAATACCAATCGAGCTTGTGTATATCTAGGCGGCCAAATTTTGATCCCTGTTTGCGGGTGTATTATTGGACCGGATCAGAATGTAGGTGACTGACTTTTTCTAAAACTGCTCATGCAGCTTGACCAACTTATTTCCTTGCCATATGCTTTATGTTTTCAGTTGTAAACATAGTTTTCCACGAGAAGTAGTTGATTTAAAAAGTCCTCATGCAAACACCCCCACCTTTTGGCAAAGGCTCAGTTATAAATAGTGACCAATGACTTTGCAAGTTATCTTGACCTCGTAGAGCGTCTCCTGGCCAAGATATCGATCAATTAAGTGACGCGGTCCAGCTGAGCGACTACACGCTATGTGTTATCACTTGTTTCGCCGTGCTGATGTACTAATTGTTGAGTTTATCGCGTTTTGCGCTTCGTTTATTTATTTGATCGTTTACCATTTTTGAATGGCTCATTCTATCAGCTTTAAGAAAATATACGGTTTTATATGCCATTTTATCATGTGTTGAGCCGTAAATGGTCATTTTTCAGTAGCAGGTATACATCTCGGGTATCTCAGCTGATCCCCCCCCCCACCCCCCGGCCAAACCCCCATGGTTACAACCAATCGGTCGTGGCGGCGGGGCATTTTTGGCGGGTTATTTCCGGTGAAACGCTGAGCGCTTCTAGGGTTAAGTACGGCTAGCCTCTTCCGAGTCTCAAATGGGTTTGGACCTTTTCTATAAATTTACCGGTGGTTTTTTCACCCTGGCAACTCAGTCAGTTTTTTTTACTCGACTTCCGTTTTTGTTTCCAATACTTTTTTACTTTCCCTCCCGTCCCACACTTAGCTACCAGTTGTCCATTTGCTACTACTAGAGACCCCTCTCGGCTTACCGGCACCCATCTCATACCGGCAGTTGGCACGCATTTGGTATAAAATTGGACAACCAGACAATTATGTGATAACCTGGCATGCCGTCTGCTATAGAATTCCGTGCAACATTGTTTTGTTTTCAATTTCAACAATTTTGAGCAGAATCAGACACCTGTGTGAGCAGAAATAATCCATTTTATCTCCAAAGGTAAGAACCGCGTTCAGTCATTACGGCTTGCAGATACGCAATGCGTCATGGGAAATATGCTATTGGTACTGTAATCGTACCAGCAGGATTCATTTCGCATTTTTATTCAGTTTATAAGGTGTCCAGTTACCGGCACAAACCATTCGCTGCTCTTTGTTGTAACAATTGGTGCCGGTAGGGGGGTGCCGGTAACGGGTGCTCAGATTTGACAAAGGCACCCAATACCGGCACCCTATATTTTTTTACATGCGTGACTTGAAAAATAGTTATTTCTGGATGGACTATGGATGGCATCTTAGCACTTTAGATTTTTTAGTTCTATGATTTAATATAGTTCTAGATAGATCTATTTAGAAACGGATTCATTAGAAAATGAGCGACTTTAGATTTTTCTTTTTGAACTCACTTCAGACGGTTCACACAACAGTTGCGTGACCCCCGCCGCGACGCTCGCGACGGCTCCCACAAGCTCTTAGTGACCAACTTTGGAATTTTTTTTCGCTCTACAAATCACGCACGGATCGCGAGACCCGCCTCGTACCCTTGTTTGGCCAAGCCTGAGCTACTTAGACTTCGTTTCGTATCTCTCGGGTCGGTAGTTTTTAAGGTGAAGGACAGTGACCCCAACTGGGGTTGAACAGACCGGAAATCGCGCTTTGCTTTTTTCTATACAGCTGATAGTAATCCGACAGTCGCGTCGTAGTAACGTTCGAAGAAGTCGCATGAACAAGAATCACATAATTTCGCCGTTTTCTATACTTCTGTACGTTTTACAAGTTCTAGTGTCTCAGAATATGATGTGTCTAATAGTTAGGATCCTGGATATGTACCCGAACACGGCCCGAGTCGTAGTTCTAGGGCTAGATCTAGCACTAGTACTGGTGTTGTTTTTCGCGCAACGAAATCACAACGTCGTGCCATACATCTGTCTCATGTAATACAGTGTATGGGTCTGAATCAATGCACAGACCAGCTTTTATATTTTCACCAAACACTCGCACATGGATACAAATCAAACCAGAACACTTTGAACTTTTATTTTTGTTGTTGTAGTGAATTTCATTCTACCTGTGACGTCTCTGGAAATTTTTTGGAAAATCAAATTCATGCCCATTTTTAAAAAATCATACAAATTAAAGTATTAGACTTAGACAACTTTAGTTGTTTGTATTAGATTAAGCTTGAATGTTACTTTACTGTGTCAAAAAATAATTACAATAGGGTAATTCTGAGAGTTGTTGTGATTTATTGAAATACCCCCCAAAACGCCAGTCTTCAACGCTTGTGACTGGTGAAAGGACCCAGTCGTAAGTGAGTTAATGTTTGAAACATTTATATGAAGTAAACTCTATCCCTTCCCATCTCCCGTTGTATGTGATGATGACGATGATGTTCCTCTGTCCAATGTATGTGGTGATGATGTTCCTCCAGCCACTGTTTCCACATGTTGTGATGTTGTTCGTGCTCCTACTGCTTCTGTTTCAAAAGAACTTACTGGCCCTCCCCCAACTGCCCTTGTCTCTAAGTTGTGAGTGGTCAGTTGATGCCCTAGACTTTTCGACCACAGGTCTGGAATTCTCGGGGATCGAAAGTACCTCCGAGGACTTCCTGGATCCTGCAGCAGAGTTTCAGCTAAATTTGGTTTCAACACCAGCTCGGGATCCTGTGGATGACCAGGACCATGACTATTGTCTGCCTGAGTAGGCATTGAGACCATTGGAAGATGAAACTCTGGTGACACCCCAAGATCCCCCAAAACTGCCTCAGGACAACACTTTTGCTTTGTCCTTGACAAGCTAATTGATCACGCCATTGCCACTGGATGGACGGCATCAGACATGCATTGGGTCCGCCGTCGTCATTTGCACAAAATCGAACCTAAGGAGAACGAGGGGGCATACAGTTCTAAAGTACCTTCATTTGTACAATCAACTCATTCCTGCTCCCTCATTCGTCAACCTGTCAGAAAGTGTTTGCAAATAGTTGCATTTTGTAGCTCTATCTCCACAGAGAATGGAACTTTTTGAATTTTTCAAATCCATCAATAAACTAAAAAGTTACGATTTTTTTAATCAATTAATTTTTGGTACACTTTTATATAATGAAAAAAACCCAAAATATGGGACATTCTTTGGTGAGTTTTGAGACAATATTCGTCATAACTCGCTCATTTCTAGGAGTATTTAAATGAAACTTGGCAACCCAGTACATTTTCTAGTGCAGAATCTAGTCCTGCTTTCAGATTTTTCATAGCTATCCTACTTTTTGAGTTTTATGAAGTCGTTTATAGGTAAAAATGTGGCGGTTTTCGGTGCGTTTTGAGACAATATTTGTCATAGCTCGCCTATTTCTTGGAGTATGTAAATGAAACTTGGCAGTCTAGTACAGTTTTTAATGCAGAATCTAGTCATGCTGTCAGATTTTTAATATCTGTCATACTTTTTGAGTTGTAAAGACATTAACAGGTAAAAAAGTGGCGTTCTTTACAGATTTACAAAGTTTATCAGTCATATCTTCTCCCAAAGTCATGATATTTGAATGAAACTTGACAACATAAAAGGTTCCTCCTTGCCAAGCAATGATCTGGATCAATATTTGTCACAAAAATGTAAGTAGAGAATTGGATTTATTAGTCTAATAAATCCAGTTCTCCACTAGTAAAAGCATGCATACTTTGTTATAGAAAATAAGATCATCTCTGTGTATATATCCATTGTTGGTCAGTGTCCTATTGTGTGGTAGATTAAGATGCGTTTAGATAATATCTATAGTTTACAAGTCATGGGAATATTTCGCACGTGTAGGCTACAACTCATACTATAAATGTAACATATTACTTACACCCCCCCCCCCCCCCTTCTCTCTCTCTCTCTCTCTCACACGCACACACACACATGCACGCGCGCGCACTCACGCACGTGTGAACGATAACAATGTATAAACGGGACTATTTTCCAAGACTGGACTGAATAAGTACCGTACTCTTTAATAACAATCTTAATGCCTCACTTTTCCAAACAGAGCACAGAGGACGAGTCCAAGTGTGTGCTTTTCCCCAGAGGGGGGAATAGGCTTTCATAACGCAAACACAATGTCATACATACAACTTCTTAGATGTTTGCTTTTCTGTTTCTATTCTTCTGTCATGCAATCAAGCAAATAAAAATGACTACATCTATTGTATTGTGACTAAAATGCAAAAAAAACACAAGTTATCAAGGCTCCCGTTTAGTTTTCAAGTATCCTTCCCCCCCTTTCCATTTAACATTAGCGGGGCCTCGTTTGTAGCGCCCGAGGCGACCGATGGCTGATGACGTCACTCAGTGGAAATTTCCAGGCCGCCGGCCGTTCACCCAGCACACGCAAATGGCAATGTCGCTTTTTCCCTTAGTTACTCCCACATTTTTAAAGATTACGCCAAAACCGCTAAACACAGAAGCATGAAATTTTAAGGGAATAAAGAAAAATGGTGTACAACGTATCAGTCAGTTTGACAAATCACAGCTCCGAAAAACCTTCAAAGCGCACCACATCAACCACTTTCGCAAACGTTTTCGACTGCTTCTAGGATGGGTACAATGTTGTCAAACTGCATACTACGAGATTGACCTCTTTTCTGATTGGCTGCCAAGTTTCATTCATATCCATTCTCGAGAAGCGGCGTGAGAGCGAGTTGAAGACAACAACCTTAGTGTTAGTGCGTCCCATGAAACACCCCCGCGGCGGGGGCCAAAAATTGGCAGAACAAAATGCGCTCCGTGGGCATTGCTACAACCTGCCCGTACCAGCAGGCTGGAACTCTATGGTTTCAACACAGAGAAGCGGGCTCAGGCCCCTAAGTATGGCTTAGGGGCAAAGTACAAAGCATGGGAGGAGGCGAAGAAATTGGAAGAAGAGAAGAAAAAGGAAGTCTAAGAGGAAAAGAGGAAGAGAGAAAGGGAGAGAAAAGAGTGGAGAAGGAAGAAGAGAAAAGAGGGGAAAAGGTTAACGAAGTTGGAGAAGCAGAGAGCAGGGAAGAAGAAGAAGAAACAACAGGGGGAAAGGAAGTGGGAGTAAGGGAGTAAGGGAAGGAAGAGGAAAGTACAGGCAAAGATGATGAAGAAAAAGAGAAGAAAAGGAGAGAGTGAGGAGGAGGAAGAGGATGAAAAGGAGGTGGGATTGGTTTACGACGATGACCGCTCCCCAGATGAGAGTGTTTTGAGAGATCCGAATCTGTGTTTATACACTTGTGGGGGGGTGGGGGGTGAGAAAGATAGATGGGTGGGTTGTGACGTGTGTGAGTTGTGGTTGAATCATAAAGGGTGCTGTGGTTGTATCATAAGGGGTGTTGTGGTCGACAGAGTGCTGTGTTGAGCGAAATGTCAAAGAGTGAACTTACGTTTGTGTGCCCCGAGTTGGAGTAAAATGTTCATGTGAGTTTTTGTTTGTTTTTGTAAAGTGTTTTACGGCGCTCGCAACTGCATAAGGTCATATGAGCGCGCGGGACACACCTAATATTTTCAGTTGGTAGGAAATTTTTGAATTTTGCCCGGGTGGCGACCGAAGCCTAGTACTCTTATCGATTTTAGACCACCAAGGGATCTTTAACGTGCGCAACTTGCACACGGGCCCTCTGAGATTTGTCGCCCTTGTCCGAGAAAGCTAGGTGTAGATCTTTCCTACCAGAAGATCAGGGGTATGGCAGAAAGACAGCAGTAAGGAGAAGCCGAGGAGTAGCAGTAGAAAGGCTGCAGAAAGAGTCAGGAGCCCAGAGGAGGGGGCAAAGGAGGTGAGGGGGTGGGGGCAGAAAGTGGAAATTAAAGCAGACAACAGAACATTGCTAGAGAGCAGGAAAGGGGGTGAAAGGAGACAATTTTAGAGAAGAAAATTTTTTGGTCGCTACCCGGATTCGAACCCGGGACCTTTGAATGAGAGGCCAACACCTTAACCTCTAGGCCACGAGAGCCCCCCATGTGAGTTTGTTGTGATATGTGTGGAAGAGTATTTAAGTGAAGTATGCTGTTTTAACCCATAATTTGATATTTTACAGTTAGATTCGACATTTTCCTGAAAATAATTGATTTGCGACAGTTTTAATAGCGGTTTTATGTGTGTTGTCTGCAGCAAACATTGAAACAGTACTGTACAGTATGACCCCCAAAGCAGTGCTTCTGTGTGCGGGAGTGAAAGTAAAATTTTACATTGTTTCCGATTTTGGATTCTAGCTCTAAAATTTAAAATTTTTATTTATGGAGAAAGGCCGGGACCACTTCTCCCGAGAGTGCCAGATCTTGGGGCTTGGCTTGGGGGGGGGGGGGGGGGGAGTTCATACTCCGAACTCGTCTCAGTCACAAAGAATAATCATTTCACTGTTAGTCTTAATTAGAACGCAGCTGCAACCCAAACCACAAAATGATTCTCAGAAATAGATACCTTGTCATTGTCAAGTCGGGTTTCGAGAATTTTGTTAAGTTTTCTCGACAGTGGGTTATTTGTTGAAGCAGTCACCGGTTCGGCACCGTCCTTATCCGCCATGTTTGTTGTTGTGACACGACAACGCCTAATTGTTGTGAAAATAGTTGATATCTAGGTTAATTGATCATCGTTTGGGAGGAATGGTCCGAATTCTCAGTTTTTCATAGAAAAATTAACAACATAAAATAAAATTCATATGCTTAAAACATTACACTTAGAAGACAAGCTGCACAGAAAATGTTCAGATGAGATGTTTATATAGTTATAAGAAAACATTGTTTGAATAGACTTTAGAAACAATAAATGACAACATCCTGTTCCTACCTAGATCTAATGTAAGTTCTTAGGCCCTAGTAAAGTCATCATTCTAGAACAGTAGTGTCACAGAATAACAGAAGATCAACACAGCGTTGTACAGAGGCTTCAACATCGGAAATGGCGACGACAAAGCAAAGCCAAAACACAGGGATTGGAGGGCAGTCCACCCCTTCGTCGAAAAATAATGCGGCTGGGAGTATTGTTGACGATTTCATGTACGGATCAAATGTTGCTTCAGCTCACATTTACATTCGTATGGGTAAGTTATCCCTAAGTGTATGTAAATCTAGATACTAGACTAGATCTAGATATCTATGTTTATTTATTGTAGGCTACTAGAATGTAGACTAGAGTCAGTAGAGTGTAGATCTCTAGGCTAGATAGACCTATTATTGTGGAAGAGGCTAGACTTGAAGTCTACCCGTACTTAATAAGTACGGCGAGACTACCAGTCTAGCCGTACTTAATGACGGCAAGACCAGCAGCCGTACTTAATGACGGTTGGATAGCAAGAATCCTATATTATATCAATCTATATTATAATAAAATTGAGTGAAGCTACAGCGAGCATGTAGCAAATCTCTGTGATTGGCAGTAATGGCCACCTCTATTCTCACCCGGAGTGAGAATAGTGCAGGCGAGTCTTGTGGCTATTCTCACCCGGTGCGCG